TTGGATCGATACTTGGAAATAATGGTTCTGAACAAAGTCCAGATGATCTACATTTAACACGACATGATGACATCGTTGAATATCTTCTGAACCTGCGACGGTCCGTCTCTATAGATAAACGTCCCAGAATGCACTTTGCTCCTGAACCTTTCGCCGTGGACGCCGTTCTTCATCAGAAGTCGCTGCGGTTGATCCGGTCCTGCTTCATCTGGGACTTCGCCTTTTCTTTTTGTTGGAGGACGTGTTCGGCGAACTCCCTCAGAGCGCCCGCGCCCCCGTCCAGGCGGCAGGTGTACTTCGCGGCGTCGGCCGCTTCTTTCGGAGCACCTGGGGGCACGGCGCTCAGACCTGCCAGGCGCAGGCAGCTGGCCTCTGACGCATCGTTGCCTGAAAGAAAATCGTTTACATTTCAGAACCGTACGGTTCCAGGATCTGACTCACCCTTTGTTTAAACCAGTTTACTGCAGAGACCGTCTTCACACAAGCAAACAGATCCGCTGGACTCCACAGTCCATCTGGTGCCTTTTGTTTGCTTCTCCAAGAATTAAAGTGCTGTCGGATCACGAGTTATCAAATTTAATCAACATGAACTACTTGTTCAAGCTCAGATGTCGACCAGTCTTTACCCCTTTACCATCAAACCCACTGTGTACCATAACTGTCGGCCTATAGAACGCACCTGACGTAGCCACACACACTATATTTAAGATAAAACATAAATTTGTACATAGATAAGACGTACCGGTGTATAAGCTGCGAGTGTCCACAATTTAATATCAGAAACTGCACACAGCTCCTGGTAGAATGTTTAGCTCTTGTTGTAGTACAATAATCAACCACCAGATGGCGTTTCATAGACGGTGGTTTGCCTTCAACACACAAACTGCTGATCCTGACAGGACTTCATGACGCACTCGCTCCCTGACTCATGGTTACCAGTTCTACCAGTAGCGCCTCGTCAATAGAGGGTGCCGCCCCACTGCTCAAACCCCTCACAATATTACAAAGAAGACTTAAAACAAATGAATAAAAATGAAATAAAATAAAAACATTTCGAAATCTATGTGTATACTGTATTTTTTTTAGTTGTATAAGATATTTTATAGTTAATGATGAGCTAAGTTGTTCCTTTCAAAAACATTGTCTCTGATCGGTGACGTATTTCCGGCCCTTGGGGGCGCAAGAATCTTTACCCATAGACTATCATTAAAAGTTGGACATGCGCACTAGCTCCTCTTCGTTACGAGAGATGGTAAGATTCTGGGCGCAGATAAATGCGCCCGGGCTCACGGTCGAATGCGAACGGTACCGATCGTGCTTCCGGTCCGGAACAGATTTTTTTGTTTTGTTCGGGAACAGATCAGCAGTGACGCTCACAACCAGGCTGGCTGCAGGTCGGCTTTACGCCACTGAAAGCCCTTGATCTAATGCCTATGTTGCCATTCCTGACTGATACGTCTCTCAACTTTTAGATGTCCCTGTTTGTGAAAAAACCTTCAGCTGACTGTGTATTCTAAAAGTGGGAACTGGTGAGTTTGTTTCTTTGTTTCTGGAGCTAGCATGCTAGTGCTAGCCTCCAGGTTATTGTAT